CTGGTAAATAAATGACGTCATTTCACGCTTCCATGTGATGTGATGATCACTGGGTTCCGTGTTCTTGAAGTGTCCCGCCTAACCCAGCCTATTTCAAAACCTATAAACTAAATGACCCTCAAATGACCCGGTCATTTCTAAATGACTGTGGTCACTTGGTCACGAGTCATTTCCAAATGACCCAAAATTGAAATGACCGGTCATTTCGGGGTTATTTGAGGTCATTTGAAAAATTTGCAAATAACCAGGTCATTTACCATCACTGGTGGGAAGGGGAAGTCTGGCTGCGTCAAAGAGGGTTTGCAGATATTCATCTTATAGAAGAATATATTCAGTGTTGGGCAAATTAGTGGTCGACCAAAAATTCACTGGTCAAATTGGTCAAATGGTCAAACTAATAAATTATAAATATACTATTTGACCAATTTGACCTGTACAGATTCTTTGACTAGACCGGTCAAATTGGTCAAATTGGTCTGGCCCAATGGTCAAACTGGTCTGGTCAAGCCAACACTGAATATATTCGAATATATTCGAATTAGCCACTCATGTTGCTATATTATTACAGATGCTTTTATTACTAATTATGGGGGACGTTTAAAGCGGAGGCAACTCATTTTTAATAATTTTTTCAATTAACTTTAGGGTTAGGGGCATCCTATATTAGAGTTAGGTTAGGTATTTGGCAATTATGTATAAGCAAAATTGCCTTCCCTTCATTTTTGATTAACCTACCTGGGGTAGGTTTAGGCTGCCGTTTTTTGTATTTTTCGGGTTTTTTTGTTTTTATTTCTTGCTTTGCTTCGCCGATCATCAAAATTCTATAATTTGATTGGCTGTTTATTACATGATTTGCCTCCGCTTTAGACGTCCCTCAATGATGGAGATGTGATACCTAGCAATCCAGAAACATATTTGACCGTTACACGTGGCCAATACCTTATCAATACCTATAAGTATTGTTACGGGGTGATTCGTATGTTAAATAATCTATAATATAAAATATATATAGACTTTTATGATATAAGGCAACTCGCCAGAGGCATGACGTTGGTGATTTGGTTAATTATAATATAAGGAATTAATTATCGAGTTAGTGATATTACGTGCCCCTTCCTCGCACATAAGTGTCGTAACCAACCTTATCTAAGTTACGTCCTTTTTATAACGTTAAAGGATTAATGAGGCTTAAACAGATCTCACCTTATAGTATAGTGGCTTAATTTCGATCGGCCGAGGTTTATCGCAGATTGCCTAAGCCTTGTAGATCGTACGCACTGTCGTTAAGATCGACGTTCCGGATTCGTGATCAGCTGATTTCTTTTACGATTGATAGTCCAATTTTCGGAAATATCACTTTTAACCTGTATATAGTTTTGTATCATTTTAACATTGGATTTTTGTTAATATTTTCTTATTAACCTATTGCAAAAATGGGCTGATGGAAAATTTACAAAAGGAGACAAAGTGCCAAAATACAAATATAAATTTTAAAAAGAAACAACCTGCCAAAATACAAATATAAATTTAAAAAAAGACAATGATGATTCTCGATGGCCCAAATATTCATATTGTAAGTGAAGATGAGTACAAAAGTTTTGAAGAGATTATTCCAGATACTTCTCAATAAGTTAAGTCTTTTAACAAAGCTGCACTTGAGTGGTATGTTGGAGGTCCATTCTATCCTGAAATTGAAATGACCTATGTGGCATATGACAAAAATACATTTCGTAATGAATATGATGGAAGATTACAAACATCATACATTACATATTTGGATCTTCATTAATCATTTCTTATATATTATCTTTTGATAAAGAATTAATTATATCGTATTTATGTTGCCTTGGCAAGCCGATTTTAATGAATGTAATACACACTGGTGGCCAGCTCAGAGACCTGATATTGTGATTCCGAAAAAAAGAATGGCAATTATAAGTCATTGTGATTCATTTTATTTGAAAGAGATTTAACTGATCATCATTGACTGTAGGATGAAATTACAATTGGAATAAGGAATGGACCCGCGGCTTTAGAAACAATTCTGATAACAATATTCCCCTCAATGGGGTAATATGGATATTGTGGTTACATTTAAGCTGATGTATCTTATTTAATTACACTTGTATGTATACTTACAACGCTTTTGAACCGTGCAGGTTAGGATTTGTTGTTGAAATACAATCCACAACAGTACTGAACATCTTTTGTTGAGGTGGACCGCCAGGAACTTTTCGAGCTTAATAAAGACAATATTAGTGTTAAAAAATGTACACTAAATAATGTGAGTTGCTTTAATATACAATATCTTTTATATTTTTGATACTTGCGGATTAACTTGTCCTTTCTCTTTTTATTATGTTCTGACAGCTCTACTGTTTACTTAAAAAAATAGCATTACAAATTGAACTCAGCGCTATCCCTACGCTTTATATTCGATAAAACCAGGATCAAACATTGGCGACACGATTAGGTATAACATTTGTCATGTGGCAGCAGCGGAAATGTTGCATGCATCTCTTGTAGCGAATCTCTTTACAGAAACCTTGATTTTTTTAAAAATATAAACAACATATATCTAGCATATAATAAAAGTCTTAGTAAGCTCTGTTAACTCTCCTGTAAGAAACTTATTAATATTATAAATATATTATAAACATATTAGAGATAAATTATTCATCACCCGGGTGAATTATTGACACAGAGGGGAGGGGGAGAAAAATATATTTATTATAGGACTATTATATTATTAAAATATTGGAATTTTTTTATTTTATTCTGTTATTATTATTATTATTAGATTAATAACCGATTATTTTATACATAAAATTATATTGTATCTATATAACCAACATATTATTAGTAATGAAGTTACAAGAGAGTTAACAGAAAGAACAAAAATATAATTATTATATGATTAATATATATTCAAAGTATATATTTATTATATACTATTTTAGATCATATAATAATAATATTGCTAATATATAATAATAATATTGCTAATATATAATAAATATATTGTAAATATATTTAGCAAAAAACATAGGTTTCTGTAAAGAGATTTGCCGATCGATTCTGAAAGTATAGGAGATCTCTATCAGACCATTAAAAATTTTTTAAAGAGCTTCATGATATAGGGAAAATAAAATTTATAAAAATTTTCAGGTATGAATTCTTTCACTCCATGCCTGTCAATGATGGTAAATGATTGAAATTATCAGTCATTAAGCCTTTTCAAAACCTAAATGACCTAAGAAGTTAAATCATTCGATCATCGATTCTAGAATTATCGTTATCGATTCCAACTATGTTAATGATGACCTGGTAGTTTGATCAAAACCTATTTGACTTCAAGTCATCCTACGGCCAGTCAATGCAAATTTATGTGATTGGTTAATTTATAGTTGTAAAAATATTGAAAACAACAAATGTATGATTGAAAGAAAATTTAATGGGACAATTGAAAAAGGAAATTTTGAAAATGTTGGAGAAAATAGCAAAATCAGCGAAGGAATAATTAAAGGAGTAATTAAAACACTTGATGGAACTAAAACCACCGAACGAGTAATCCAAGGCAATTTCAAAGGTTTTAATAATAATACTTTTTCAATGGAAGGAGTAAAGAGAAATTTTTATCAGTTAAAATCGAATCAAGTCTTAACGGAAAGTTTTATGGAAATATCGAAGACTCTCATTATAATGCATTTAAATTTTTAAGATAGATATCGAAAATGTTTCTGAATCAGAATATCAACTCTGGCCTGTTATAAGTGATCCAAGTGTATTTTAAGTAAATATTTTACATTTTTTTCTTAGCATATCTTTGCTGAATTTAAATTTTTGCACACATTTTCTTTTATCTTTCATCACTGTACATAATAGATCGTATACTGATCCAAAAATTATTGACACTGCTACTGCATTTAAAGCTGCCTACTCATACCTTATGTTTAGAAAACTGATAGTCAGAATAAAAAAAATGTCGGTGTTAGGAGGGATGCCTGCATTGATGCATGGTGTTTTGAAGCTTATTGCAACATTTCTTGCTGGTAGGTATTCTTGAACTCTGTAAAATTTCTCTCAAAAGCATTGTCGCAGGGTTCTACCACAAAATCGCGAAAACCATTTTCCCGAAAGAACATAATACCCAGTGATGTAAATTGGATCGGCGCTGTAGGTGCAGCGCACATAGATTTAAATTTGCGCATATATCAGTGCTCCCCGTATATATAACGCGCGTATAAATTTTTCTTTGTGCATATTTTTTTTTGCATTTGCGCCAATAAAAATTTTTTGAATTTATAACACTGATAATACCGACTAAATTGGCCAGCATTATAACTAATGCCGACTAACTTTGTCGGTATTAGGTCCTTTCGGGAATCTGTCTTTCGGGATTTTGTGGTAAAACCGTTCTTTCGGGAAAATGGTTTTCGCGATTTTGTGGTAGAACCCTAGCGAGTTTTTAATTTAATCCTATAAAAAATTTTTTAAAAAACATACCCGACTTTCACCAGGTTATCGTCCCAAAAAATGTTCATTTTTCCATTTTTTATAGGGCAATCACCGTTTTTTACTTAATGAACGGCTATGGTTTCATTAGTAAAGTTTTTAGTGATCTTGGTCAATTCCGGTCCAGCGATCTTCCGACCAAAATTTTGTATCGGTATGAATTCATTTTTCCGGAATAAGACATATATAAATTCCTGGTTATTCTATAAAACCCTGGTAATTTCCAAATAGAAATCAAATCCAGGTAAAATTCTGGTCCTGGATTTGACGAAGTGCAAAATATTAGAATCCGAATGTTACTCGAATTTGATTTTTATCCGGAAATTCCAGGATTTTATAGAAATAACCAGGAATTTATATGGTTTATTCCGGAAAAATGAGCATTTTCCGGAACAATAACCTGGTGAGAGTCGGGATACGCTTTTCTAAAAATTTTTATAGAGTTTTAGATATTCTGCACCATTCGATGCAGAAAATTTAAACGGTTCTACCACAAAATCTCGAAAACCATTTTCCCAAAAGAACATAATACCGACTAAATTGGCCAGCATTATAACTAATGTCGGCTAACTTTGTCGGTAATAGGTCCTTTCGGGAATCTGTTTTTCGGGATTTTGTGGTAAAACCATTCGCTAGGCCTTATATTTCTAAGCATATAAAAGGATCGTATGAACTTTATTGGATAGATTAAAAATCTAAAAATTTAATGAAATGATAGTTAAGGTTCCAGACTATAAACCGGTGTTATTTTGCTAGTATAATAATAATACAGAATGCAAAGATACTATTCCTGATACTATAGATCATGTAAAAACAATCAATTTACACTGCTCTTGATAGAATTCTAAAAAAAGAGTCTCTTAAATATTACACCACTATAGTGAAATATGTTCGAAATCAGTATTCTTTTTTAGATCCCTATCAGAAACTAGGGACGTTAAGTAGTTAGGATAAAATTGCATTGACTCAATTCGGGTTCAAACCGTTATCGTTGTTGATTTATCACGTATGTTGATGCGTCATGAAACTATAATTCGTAAACTGTTATATAATTTATGTATTTAAATCAAGAAGAATGCTATCACGTATAAAATTTTAGCCAAGCATAATTCTTGCTTATTTAGCATAAATAGTTTAATAACTTTAGTTAGCTAGTTTTAATAAACTGTCTATACAAATCTTAGAAACAGTTTCATGTAACCAGCTTATGTAGTTAACTGCAACTGATATAGCTCGTGCTCAACGAGTTAACATCTCTCTAGAAACTGTACTCAAATAAATTTTTTTTTTATCCCACCAAAATCAGTACTAAGCCATAGGATTTTTTATTTACACTAATATGTTTTTTTAAAAAAAATTAATTAAAGATATCTCTACAATTACTTGATCAAATTTATAAAAATTCATCTGCCTCGCATCACGTGATTTGTTTTTATAATGTTAATAATAAAACCATTTTAATCAAAATATCTTAAAGCGCACATACTGTATATGCTACAATTTTTTGTTGATATATTTTAAAATTATTTATTCGAACATTTTGTTACTCTTGTCTAATAAAATTGTACAATTTATAAACATATTTATTAGTAATATTAAGCTTGTCAATGTATGACAACATTAGCTAATGTATTATAAGAACAGATTTATTGCCATAACTAAATTACTACAATGCGTATAAAAAGTTATGTTAAATTGATTTTTCGTATAAAGTACGGCTGAGCCGTAGTTAGTTGTAGCTAGTAACGGAATAAATCTGCATTATCTATTGGTATTAGTAAAGTTATCGTTATACATCTATAAATTTCCTGATGTGTATAAGTAATAAATGCACTGAATGTCTTTCACTATCCTTAATATTTTAGATAGAGCTACACACAGGAAAATGAAAATTATGTGATTATAAAGTCTATTCTATGTATATATACAAATTGAATATGCAAAAATATAAAAAAAAAATGATTAAATGCGTAAGTAAATGCATAAATGCTAGGGTGAAAAAACTGTACAAATTGCAAAAGAATGTAGATGTTTAAGGTTAAATGAGATATCGTTATATATAAAAGTAAGGAGTGTAGTTGGTTAATTGCTCGTCATGGAGCAGAATTCTGAAATGAATATCAATTGGCTAATGCCAGCAGGTTCTTGCGTAAGTATTCACCACTTTTATATACATGGGTAATTTTAATGGCAGACAAGACAAGTGGTTAACTTGGGGAAAATGTATAATGGCGGAGGAACGTTTCGACACTGTTTGTTGCTACAATATTTGAATATGCATAAAGACGAAGAAAGACAGAAAATCATAAATAAGCAATATTTATTAAATATTAATCTGCTTATAAACTCAAATTTTTCATATAATAATCCTTAAGACTAATTTAAACCATTTGTTTTTAATTTTATGAATACACGCAAATCATCAAGATTGCCGATATTCTTTTTTCTTTCTATTGTTCTTTTAAAACATAATTTATAAAATTTTGAAAGTTTTTTTCTTTTTTTTTTAAAAAAAAAAAATCTTATACGCTTAGTAATGCAAAAATCCCTTTTCCAATATTTAACTTTTCGCCGCATATATTGTTACCAACAACACTTCCACTAACTTTATCAACCCAATCCTTAAATTTATTATTATTATTATTAGCACTCACATACCTAACTTCAAAATGTTTTCCAAATCTTGCTTTTGTCACAGGTCCAACCATCTCTTCCTCTAAATTCTGACATTGAAATACTTCAAGAAGTTCGATATTCCGGCATTCTGCTATGCTATACCATGGGTCACAACCCTTAAAGTTTACTCTATCGAATCTTATATAACGTAACGTGGATGAGTGTAGTTTGAGTGGTGGAATAAATACGCGAGTGTATGCTTTGCAGGCTGTCAGGGAGAACGATACTAAAGCGGTTTGACACGATATTAACGAAGTGATAGCTTCTCCAAAAGAGTCAACACTCTCTTCGTAATGATGTCGAGCCCAAAGGTCGCTTAGGTACAAATGTTCCTAAAATAAATAAATAAAATAAAAATAAAGGTTAATATATCACACAACAAATATTATTAATTGCATCGTATCTAATGACTAAATAATGAAGATACAAACAATTTTATGACATCTCTGCGTTAACATTTTATACAACTTTATTTTTCTAACTCTTGCGTAAATGTGTAATGAACGAACAGGAGAGACTAAATTTTTCAATTGATTATCTGTCAACAGTATTTCGTACATTTCATCATTAAATTCATCTAACGTGTTAGGATTTATATGTAAACCATATAATCTTGAACCATGTTTTAAACAAAGTTGTAACAATGTTTTCATTATAACTTCCTCGGCATCGTCAACCAACGTTACATTATTTTCATTATTATCTTCATCTGTAAGATCATCACAATCAGGTTGTTGTTCAATTTGTTGTTGTTCCATTATGTCGGCTAATTCGGCGCACCAATTTTCAACCGCACTTATCATTTGTTCATAATATAATACACGAAGAAAACCTGGATAATTAAACATAGGTTTTTTATTTGTTATACCTAATTGCATTTGATTATAGTCGGTCATTAACGAAATATCAATTCCTTGATTTAAAAGCGATTTTATATCATGATTTTCAAGGCATTTTAAATACATTGAAATAATTGGAGTATAATCAATTTCTTTTCCAAAAAGAAAAGGTTGACTCCAAAGAATTGGAATAGCTATTCGACACCATTGTCGATTTACAAAAATACATGGATAAAGCGCACGTAATCCTTCAATCGAATAAGTTCCGGATAATTCACATGGATTTGCAACATGTAAAAGAATCTCTCGAAGTACTTCAGGAATAAGAAATGGTGTCATTATTAAATGAAAAGTTTGTTAATAATTAGAAATATAACGAAATCGCAAAGTTATTAGGTTATGAACGACTAATAGGAAAAAAATTTTTTTTATTTTTTTAGAGATGAAGATGCGCGACTTTTATGAAAGATATTCATAACGCTTTTATAGAAATTATGATTTTCTACCATGATAGCCGATAGTTTGAAAGATCTGCTTGGTTCGACCCCGGAAACAAAGATATGTAAACGCAGTAAATATAGTAATGCATAATTACCAAAAGTATAAAATCTAGGTTTATAATGTTTATAGTCGAAAATAATATACTAAATTAGCATTTATTAAATGTTATTTAAGATGTCTTGTTTTCCCAATTTAATTAACAGCAATAATTTCATAAAAGGAAAATCAAATACAAAGATGCAAAGGCAGTTATATAATCATGTGATCAAACGATCTTTAGGCCGCCTTATAAGCAAATTCATTCGATTGGTTTGATCGACATAGAAATAACTAGTCCATTATTATGCATCATGCATGAATTCCTAACAAACAGCGCCGGGCAGATAAACAAGGAAAGAAACATCTAATCAAAATTCACACAAAGAACAAAAAAAAAAATCATTCAATAATGACAGGACTCGAAAATATGGAAAAAAAGGTTATAAATTTTATTTTTTATTTTCTCGAATTGAAACTTCATTTGATGATAACCATAACGCCCTTTCTTTGTAAAATGAATATAGCTTTGTTAAAAATTTCATTGGTAATTGATGAAATGTGAATTTATAATTGGGTCACTCAAATATCGTGATAGTGATGTACTATTTTAATTTTGAGATTTACCTTATAGTTTTTAGCAAATATTTTTAATGGCTAATCCTCCCGAGAAAGGTTTATCTTATCACAAAAATCTCATGCCGTGCAATTCCATCTGAAATTTTAAATTACTCAAACTTTTATGCCTTCTAATAACGATGCATCTTTAAATATATCTAGATTTAGTCGACAAGGTTGACGTTTGTTTCGAAAAGATGAAGGTAACACATTTATTTTTCTATTAAAATTATTTTTACTGTGAAACATCATTTAAGTTACAGAAGTATGTATCTACTTACGTACACAGTACGTACGTACGTACGTATATGCCAAATTACTATATAGTCACTGATTCATAATCTTTATCACTTCGTTGATAACATTAGGCTTCTCTTCTGCATGTTTTGTATGACCATTAAAGTTTCACGAGAAAGTTTTATGGAAGTTTTACGAAAAGGTTTCACTGAAAAGTTTCACAAATTTTCATGAAAAGATTTTGTGGAGTGTAAAAATAATGAATGAATACAAATGACGTTTACCATTAAAACTGTTAGCCTCGTAGTCTAAATGAGAGTTTCGTGTTTGTGGCAACTTTAATTGGTTAATAACGTTCATTTTGCGTTTCTTTATTTCAATGACAAACAGTATGACACATTCCCACAGATTAGAAAAAATGACCTTATGATTTTGGATCTTCTGTTACATTGTAGATTAAACATGTTAATGGTTTGGCCCAATTTGTCTTTTGATATGGGATCGATCTAAACTAGTTGATCCATCCAATATTTCTTAATTGTCAAATCATTTACTAAAATATTTAAACATATGTTTTATCGTTGTGAGTTTAGCTGATGGATACTCTCAAAAAGAATCCTCAAAATTTGCTCTTGGAATCTTTACCTATAACTATTACAATTATTCTTTACCGAGCTCTTTATTCTTCGTGGCTATACATAACAAGTTACGAGCTCCGCGAGATTTACACGTGAATTTAATATCACCATTTAAAAATAGTCCATCAAAGTGTTTATTACACAGAAAAAAAA